AGTGATCCTCCTGTTTTCAGCCTCCCAAGCACTGGGATTACAGGTGTGCACCACCACACCCAGTCTCAATCACCATCTCAGAGTGCCCCAGGGCCAGGGCTGGCACAGCAAGCTGGGGACTGACCCCTGGTCCCTGCATCTGCCTAAGAAGGCACTCTAATCCACTGAGCTGTCTGGCTGGCGCGCAGCCTAGGCACTTTGGAGACTTAGCAAGAGCCGGTCTCAAAATCAAAAATAAAAGGCTGGGATGTAGCTCAGAGTGAAGGACCTGGGTTCAATCCCCAGTACCAAAAAGAAGGAGGAAGAGGAGCAGGAGGGGGAGGAGGAAGAGAAGGAAAGGAAGGAAGGAAGTTAGATTCAGCCAGCAGCAACAAGCACCAATCAGCAACCTCTATACACGGGTAGCTATTTATTGACATGGACAGATGTTCATACAAATGGGTGAAAACACACATACATGGATAACACACACGCTGACACAGAGGCAACCTCAGCCTCTTAGGGTTGTGTATCTGGCTGCTAGCAACACTTATCTGTGGGTGATGAAAACGTGGCTGTTTAACATTTTATTCTGGCTCTTCTGTCTTCGGTTTTGGTTTTTTTTTTTTTTTTTTTCCTATAACATTCTCATTTTTTTCCACAGTAGAGTGCACATTATTTTCTGCTTAGAAAAGACAAATAAGCTCCACCCTGGGGACCAAGGGAGCATTTTATTTATTCCAAGGAATCTGACTCTCCATAGAAAAGCAGATGACAAGGAGGCAGGGGTGCTGGCGATGCTGGGACACGTTTACAGCCTGTGAAGAACCGTGTGGGGTGGAAATGGATCTGGCGCTGAAGCCTCACATTCTTCCACTCATTTGTTCAACCAGCGTTCATTGAACGCCTTTCTACAGAATGAGCCACGGGCTGGAATCTCGGGACCTGCGAGCTAGGAAAATACAGTCCTGCACCTCGGCAGTGCCCGCTCCTGCCTGTCTGGGGACTTGGGCTTGGGACACCCACCAGACTAGCTTGCTCGGAGCAGCTTGGGACAGCAGCAGTTGTCTTTGGCTCGGATGGAAACGCGCACCAGTGAAACCCTCACAGCCCTTCACCCGAGACACAGTCTTCACTGTAACACCTGCCCCTTGAATTCAGTTTCTTTGCATTCAAGTAGAGTCCCTGAGAGCAGCCAACTCCCAGCCCCACCTGCAAACACGAGGAGTTTGGGCACTGGGCCCCTGGGATATGCAGCTGTAGGGTCTTGAAAGAGCACTGGCATGCTCTGAAGAAGGACAAGGTACCTCTCTGAGCCCATTCCTGCCCCCCACAGTCCCCAACCTAAGTGATGGGGTACAAAGGGATCAGAACCCGTGTCCAAATAGCAGGAAGGAAGTGGGTGAGGGAGCTGCGCTGGCAGGACAGGAGCATGCGGGCTGTGTGTGCTGGGTCCTTAAGAAGCACCTCCAGGAGGCTGCTGGGCAGGAGCACACAAGTGCAGAGGATGGAGCAGAAGGAGGAGGCGTGGGCCGGCCCAGCCCTAGCCTCATGCAGCTCGCCTGCACCACCCCTGCTCAGCAGCCCCTCCTGAGCCTCCTCAGTCCAGAACCTTCAACCAGTCAAGTCTCACAGAAAGCGTATAGGCCCTGGGTCTTGCTCATGTAGATCATCATGGAGGCTGGCAGGGCAGAGCTGAATGCCAGGAGACCCAGGAGACCATGAGCAGCTCAAACCCATCCAGATCCTCCCATCTCTCACAAGAACCCACAAGCCCGGCCCCCAGCTCTGAGGCACCAGAAACTTTCATGACAGGGTTGCAGGTCCAGCCTGACTTCTGGCCTGCATCTGCCTAAACCCACCCAGAGCTGGCAGCTTCCCCGGGCAAGGTCCTCTTCCTTCCTGGTCCTCAGGACAGAGGGCAGCTGGGAACCAGATGTCATTCTGGGTGGCGGGGTGTTCTAGCGCATGTGGCTCCAGCGGCATCCGGGAGCACGTCTGCCCCAGCCCTGGGCACCGAGAGTGTGGCTTTCCCACACCTCACGCACCTGGCTGCCTCCTTCCCGCCCTCGCCTGGGCTCCGGCTGCCTTGCCCCCCGCTTGCTTATCTCCATCTTGTTGCCACAAGAGCCAGGAAGATGGTCCAACCCTGGGCTCCATCCAGCCCGCGGACAAGACACAAATAGGGAGCGGGTGTTCTGGGAAAACTTCGCAACAGCCATCCTCTGCAGGGTGGCCTGTACAGGCCTCAGAGGCCAGGCAAGGAACGCTCACAATGGACAGTAAAAGGTGTCCCTAGTGTCCCTGCCCACACCCAGTTCTGGAAATCAGGCATGGAAAGGATGGAGCAGTCGAGGGACTGCGGATGCAACTAGAGCCACCCCTGTCAACAAGCGCCTGTGTCAGGCAACCGTACCTTGACTAGGACCCTAAGCCCTCTCAGCCTTGCTTTCAGCCCTGTCCTCCCCCAGGGAGGGAATCTGAAGCAATTCAGGACTTCACCGTGGAGCTTGGGGAGGAGGAAAAGAACCTGGATTCTGCACATGATAGTTTAACTCAGGTCAGGCGCTGCCAGGTCAGGGACCAAGCTGGATGCTGGGCAGGGCCCAAGACATGGGACTGGTGAGACTGGCCTGCTGGGTGGGCTTCCCTGAGAGAATGTAGAAGGCAACACGGGTGGGCTGGTTGACCCTCCCCAAGACTGTTCTCGGAGACGAGTGGACCACTGCTCTCTTGGCAGGGGGGTCCTGGAGACAGCAGACCCTGCCCTTAACATTAGCAGAAAGCAGATATCCGTGGGTAAAATAAGGAACAACAACAATGCTCACCCGTGGGGAAGCCGAGCCTCCCAGACCACCGATGTCCCCTGGGGCACTGCTCCCACTGGGGAGTCTCCAGGCTTCCCCAGTGAACAGCCCTTTCTCTAGCTCAGGGAGGGTAGGTTGCCGGGAAGTCAGCCTTGGGCAATCAGCAGCCAAAGACTGCAACGGAACATCTCCTCCTTCCTGTCACCCTTGCCCTCCTCTGAGCCCCGGAGCCTTGGCCACCCCCAGCCCCAGGAAGTGGGACCCACAAAAGGGCCCGACCTCAGAGGATAAGAAGCAAATGAGAAGCTGGTGTCCACTAAGGACACCCTGAGGCACCACAGTTTCCACGAAATTCTTTCATCTTTGTTTTGATGGGTGAAGTTCAATGCCAGAATATTTGGTTTATGAGTCATGCTAATTATAGCTGGGGGAGGCACCAAGAAGAGCAACACAGAGGAGCATGTTCTGAAGAAATTAATGCTGTGCTGGTTGCCCTGAATAGGGAGGTAACACCCCAGGAATGAGAAGGGAGCTGCTGGTGCCTTCCCAGGGACAGCAGGGACTTCCTCAGGAGGAGCGCTGGCTGGCTGGGCTGTGGTGTCCCCGGGCTACCAAAGGCTTCCTGGGCTCCATTTCTGTCTCCTTGAACTGCTGTTTGCTGGGAACACTTCCTTGGCATACCAGGAACTCAAAATGGCAAGAGGAGAGAAGCCCAGTGTGCCTGGGAGGTAGCCCTGGGGTCCTTCCTACGTCATCACTTTCTCTGATGGTAGCTGAGTATGGGACACTGAACCTCAGCTTAGAGTGCTGTACTTAGTGGTCCCAGCTGGGTGGAGTGTTCCAAGCACAGTCTTGGGGGCTGAAGACACGGGTGAAGGCCTGGGCTCCTTCTATGCACTTGTTCGGTGACCTTTAGAAGCCATGAGTTCCACTAATAGAATTGTTGACAATCAACAAATCCATGACTGCATGACTGCAGTTATTCTTCTCCTGGGGCTGGGTCACCTCTTGCCCCCCCCATTTTTTCCGCCCTCTGCATCCACCTCCTGCTTTCCCTCCTACTGTAGCAGCCGCACTCCGGCAGAAGGACCTTCCTTCCCCACAGCACACAGCATAGTCAACTGCATCTGCTTGTGACTTCGCACATGGGCTGCATAGCCTGCCAGAGTGTGTACTTTGTACACTATAAAAAGCAGAGCTGAGCAATGTCTAAGGACGTCACACACTCCCGGGGGATCCTACAAGTGCTTTCTCAAGACATTTCTCATTTCCAAAGTTTAGAAAAGCATGCCCTGTGGCCCCCATTCCTAGAAACTAGGTGAGGTCGAAGAGGCAGAAAAGAATCACAGCAGGGCAGCTCCCTCCCACCCTTCCGTGTCAAGACAGGTCAGGATGGTGACAACACCTGAACCACACGGAGGACCCACGGCACAGCAGAGCTCTTGGGGCTGGGAGCAGCCGGGCAGGCCCTAGGGTCACATGGGTGGAGGGCCACCCTCTCCTGTGGAGGTGCCCTGGATTGCTGGGTGGCAGTTCAGTGACTACAGCTGCAGATCAGGGTCCCCTCATCCTAGCTTCTCTTCCGGGGGAGGGTACCCAGGGAAGTGACATAGTTTTTTCCTACCCAGGCCCGATGCCCACCAAGAACACCCCAGCTGTTGGATGAGGGGGCCACATCCTGTACTGTGTGGAGACTGAGCTGACCCGAGGGCACAAGGCAAAGCTGAGGCTCCTCAGATGGTCCGAGTGCTATGGAAGAGGGGGTCCCTACCTGCTGCAGAGGTGGCCCTTGACTCCATTCTTTAACTTCTCATAGCCTCAAAAAAAAAAAAAAAAAAAAAAAAAGCACTGGGGCAGAAAAGCACTAGAGCAGAAAAGCAAGGCAAAACACCTCGCCCAACAGTGGGGAGAAGCTAGTCCATCCTGACAGAATCCATCTGCCACAAGCGCACCTCCTCCCCAGGCAGAGGCAGACACCACTCACGGCTCTGGGCAGAACCTGGGCTGCACAGAGCCTCGGCCGGGACACACACCCAAGCTTCCCCAGAACTTCTGCTCTCTCTGACCCTTCGCCACAACCGCCAAACACCCTTTCTCACCCTGTCCCTTGTCCATGCTGGGAAAGGTGTCTGCTCTGTCAACCAGGCTGAGGGCATGAGGAGAGAAGCAGGCGGTGCTGGGTCCCTCCCGGGTCCCGCCAGCCAGGCTACCTACCTCCTTCAGAGCTTGGCTAGCTGCAGCAGCCTCGTCCTCCGCTGCCTCTCCTGGCTTTCTCGGAGCCTGTTACACCATCTCCCAGCGGCAGAGCCTCCTCCCGGCCAGGTCGGAGGAGTAGGGGAGCCTGGACAGACTTGTCAAGGAGACAGAGCAGGAGAAAAAAAAAACCCAGGAAGAAGGCTCCAAAAGGGCAGGGCTGGGGGTGCAAGTACAGCAGCCCTGTCCTGGCACCTTTATCTTCCCGGCTGGCTCCAGGGTTTCCTTGGCCAGAGCGGAAACGTGGTTTCTCAAAAATAAAGGAAGAGAGGAAGAAAGCAGGACAAACACATAAAGAGCAAACCCCAGCCAGATGTGAGCTGCTGAGGAGCCTAGAACGCTCCCAGCGCATTTTATCCAAACAGCAGCCTCCGAGGATTAACTGTGTGTGTGCCCGGCTGGCTGGCTGACTGGCTGGCTGGCTGGCCCGGGCTCCTTCTTCTGGGCCAGCCTGCAGAGCCAGCCCAGGCTGGGGGGTGAAGGTGGCCTCTTCTGTATGTCCAGAGACCCCATCCAGATGGGGATGTGGCTGGGAGCCCAGGACAAGGACACCCGCACAGGGTGGGGGCATCCAGGAAAGCAGAAGCTCCAAGTTACTTGCTGGAGGAGGGATGGGCTTCCAGAAACTCAGGCATCACCCTGAAGACAACCCCAGGTCCAAACTGTGGCAGACCTGAGTCCCCTTGTCCTATGGGAACTCCACCTGGGACCCAGGGACCAGGCCAGGTTTGGAGGACTCTATGAACTCTGCAGCAGAATGCCTGACAGTATGCAAATGTTTGTGCATTTGGAGAAAATGACAGTCCCTCTGTCTGGAGACTTCCATGATGCAAAGTTGAGGGCAGCCCCTGCCCAAAAGGTTTAAAGACCCCACCCACAGTGAGCATGGTGGGGGAGGGGTGCCCCATCAGGCCACTCACTTCCTTGAGATGAAAATGCACATTTTCTTCACTTCTGCAGATGTGCTTCCTGAGCAAAGCCCCGAGCTGCTGCCCCCTGCTTCTCCAGCCCTGTACCTGGATTCCGTGCCCCCAAACTTGGAGTCCAGCTGATTTGCTGTAAACTCTTATCACACTACCAGGGGAGAAAGGATCTGGCCCACGGAACCAAGCTGCTCTGACCACAGCGGTGTTCCAACCTGGGCTCCCCTATCCCCCAAGCCCCCTGCTGCTCTTCTCCTGGGTTGGAAGCCTCATCTGTACTTTTGGTTTTGTTGTTCTACTGAAGGCCTCTCTATGTCTCAGTCTCTGTCTCTCTATCTCTGTCTGTCTGTCTCTCTGTCTGCCTGTCTGTCTGTGTGTGTGTGTCTCTCTCTCCCCCCCCCCCAATCTGGGCAGGAGATAAAAAAACAAGGATGCTGATTTGGAATATTCTGGATAAAACCAAAAGCCTGTGCTTGTTATTACTCGTCTTCCAGTGTCCCCTCCTCAGCCACACCAACATCTGGAAAGGCCAAGAGAATCAAAACAAGGGAGGAAGACTGTGTAGGCGTGATGCCCACCAAGCACACTGTCTCACCCCTTGGCTGAGCACAGAATCCCATTCCGGCAGAGGTGAGGATGGACAGATTTAGAAGGAGACAGAAGGACTCTGGGAGGAAGAAGCAGATTGTATATGCTTCGTGCCCCCGCCAGAGATCCTGGAGCAAAAGAAATGCTGTCGATCCCTCTGGTGTTCAGGGGACACTTCAGGATACTTGGTAAGATGGAATGACCTTTTCTCTATCCCAGGCATGTCCCCCACGAGCCCTCGCAGGCCTGGGAAATGCTCGTGTTCTTTGGAATAGCGTCTGAGGATTGGCAAAGCTTGCCTCTTGGCTGCTTATGGATCTGGGAAAACCCAGAGATAAGCGCTTCTTCTTTCCTGGAACACAAGGACATTTCCTGACCAGCACATGGACTGACGTCCCCTGGCTGCGCTGTCCCCAAACAGCCTGTGTGGCAGTGGAAGCAGCCAGCAAGGCAGAAGAGCCACACAGGCGACAGCTATGAGACCGCTGCCATGTGCTGGAGCATCGGGGACTCTTGCAGGCAGGAGCCACCTCAGTTCCATGGAAGGGTTCCTTCCGGTCCTGCCCAGGAGCCTCTATCTTGCGAAGAGCCAGACCAACTCCAGAACTCACAAAGCTGGACGTGCAGCTCAGAAGAAGAAAAGCTGTGCAAGGTGGAAGATTTGTTTCTCTTTCTCCATCCAAGATGGCTTTGGCATTGAAGAGCTAAGGGACAAGCAGGTTCACCGTAATCCCAAAACACACATTCAGAGGCCGCACACAGAGCGAAACTCTAAAATACACCAAGTGAGGCCTGGGGAGATAGCTCAGTAGCATAAGCGCTTGCCTGGCAAGCACAGGGTCCTAAGTTCAATCCCTGGTACAATAAATAAATAAAAATACACCAAGTGAGGTCTCCTTTGGGCCTGAGGATGTCTAACCCTGACCCATCCTGGAGATGCTGGTGAAACCTGGAGACTTATTTTCCTTATCTATTGTTCAGAGACAGGTTCAGGGGGAGTCTCTTATCTGAAATCAATGAGGCCAGATGGGTGAGACACAAATGTCCCAGCAAGCATCTGCTCCGAGTGGGCTGCAGGCTGCGCCAGGCCCAGACCCTCGACTATTTTGTGAAGGACTAAATGAAGCCATTTGTGACCTCACAACAGTTTGTCACCTTGTTCTTTCAAATTTGTCCACGCCAAATTTAGGGGGAAACCAAGTTTTTCTACTTTGGGAATTTGGGATAGAGGACTGTGAACCAGTATCTTTCTCATGCTTAATAGACATGAAGCAGACACCACGTACGAGGATGCTCCTGATAACTGTGATCAGTGTAAGTATAATTTTCTTCATTCCATCCTCTCCTGAGAGATTACCAAAGGGACTATTCACTTTCCATAAGGCAGAAATGGGAGGGGGCAGTATGACAGTAAGCATAACCATGGCAGCCCAGGACTTCCCAAGACATTTGTGTGAGGCAGGCGACTCGGAGGGCTGGGAAATTCCAAGGAACAGAATTGAGACTGACTGTCGTAGGCGGTGTCATCGCAGTCCTATCCAAGCCAGCAGGCAAATGGGCAAATATTCACCAGGCCAGTGCCCAAAGAACGCAAGCCTGTGCTCAATAAAAGAAATAAAATATGTCACTGAACCCAAGAGTTTGCCAGGTTCCTAATGCCCTTTGTCATCAACTTCATTTCTGCTCTCACGCTGTAAGTAGGAAGATGGAGACTCTGGCAAGTGAGGGATGCTCCTGCAGGCGTGACTGCCTTCCATCGCTGATGTAAGTGCCCCAAATATCACAGCCAGAATGCTCTTAGTTTACCCCACACCTTTCCCAGGAGTGGTAGGGCAGGAGAGAGTCACAGCAAACAGCAGGGTAACAAACCAGCAGCACAGCCAGCGGCAGGCCTGGGGCAGATGTCATGAGGCCTGGATGACAGCATTGGAGTTAAAGCCAACGAGAATCACAAAGCCTCCCCTCTCCCCCAAGTCTCTCTCTCTCTCTCTCTCTCTCTCTCTCTCTCTCTCTCTCTCTCTCTGGGCCTCCCAGTGGGCTGCAAGCCAAGCCCACCGTAGCTCTTCCTAGGAGCTCACATCAACCAAAGGAGGCTGTGCTACCCCCACTCCCAGTTCCTGGGTATTCCCTAGTGGCTCCATTTCCTCCAACCAGAGCAGTTCCTGGGATGAGCCCCCCCCCCAGGCTCCCAGATAAACATTCCCTGGAACCCCTGGGCAGGAAGCAGGACACCATGTGCCCTCTCCCGTTGGCCGATTCTTCCCCTTCCCTAGACACATCATCACTGCTTGCTGTGTCTGCTTTCTTATGGCTGGAAAAAGCCATGCGACCTTGGTTATAGTCTGTGAGACACTGGGTTCCCGATAAGCACAGCGTGTCATTAGTGGTAGGCAGTGTGATTTTTTCCCATGGCAGTCCTCACGTCCCGCCTTCCCAGCTATTTTGGGCTGGGCAGCCCAGTTATTCTACCAAGGCTGAGACTTGTATTGCGAACTTTTGAATTCCATTTGGCAGGGCAGCGACAGGCAGGCTAGGATTGGTGGCATTCCATTGCCAAGGGGTGGGAGCGGGGAGAGCCTCTGCAGAGATTTGGAGAAGTTGCTTAAGGAAAAGCGGAAAGTTGGCGGGAAGATCCAGCCTCCTGGCCACTGGCCCACCCTCATGGCTCCTGGAAGGCACAACTGGTATTCTGAGAGGCTCAGGCAGGTGGAGCTCAGGGCTAGGAGCTTCAAGAACAGAGCAGGTTAACCTGCTGACCTCCTCTCGCCCTTCCGTGCTGGTGATTACATTCCCAGGCCTTGAGACAAGGCCTTGATAAACTGCCCATGTTGGCTTTGAACTTGTGATCCTCAGTCTCCCAAGCACCTGGAGTTGGCCTCTCACGTGGAAGAAACCACAAGCACAGGGGTGTTTCCTCTCCAAGGATTCCTGGAGGTCAGTGGGAGAAACACATGTGCAATCTTCCATTTGTCGTTTACGTGCCTTCTGACTTTAATCCGGCCTTGATTTCCTCATGCCCCAGCCTCTCCATCTCTAGCCATTTACTCCCCTGCATCGGTAATGAACGCTTTCAGTTACACGCAGGCAGAAGCTAACTGATGAAGCAACAGTCTACTTGATAAATAAAATTAGAGCGCCCCCTAGTGGGTAGTGCAGCCCTACACATTTAACTGAAACCAAGGAAAACCATGCGGATGGATGGATGGATGGATGGATGGATGGATGGATGGATGAGTGGATGGGTGGCTGGGTGGGTGGATGGATGGATGGATGGATGGATGGATGGGTGGATGGATGGATGG